CAAATCCACCACCACCAATCTTCTTAACCTTAAATTAAATAAAAAATATATATAACTTCTGTATTACTGAAAATTGTTAAAATAAGGAAATATTTATTTAAATAATTTTTTTTTAACTCATTTCGCAAAATGATAACAAAGAAAAAAAAATGCATTAAAAACATTTTCTCAATTAAAAACATGATACATACCACTTTCCATCGCTGTTTAACATATTCACCTACTTGAAGAAGATCACTATTTTCTTCCATCTAACACTTTTTAAAATTATCTTGATTTTTATTCATTTCATGGTATTTTCGCGGATATCATATTATGTTTAACTAAACTTTTCTCAACTTTTTTAAACAACAACAACAATAAAAAAGAACAATTCATAAAATTAAAATGATGCTTTATTAAAAATATAAACTTTTATAATTAAGTAAATTAAAATAAAGTTAGTTAGATTCATTTTAGCCAATTATATTGCTTATGGTTTACAAATATATAATCTTTTAAGACTATTATTAGACTATTCCAAGGTTAAGCCTAATATATTACTCTGTTATGGTTATAAAATTGTAAAAAAGCTAAATGCCTATATTAAAAACAATAGTAAATTAAACACATGTTTTGATTGTTGATAAATTTAAGGAATTTATAAACAAATTATACCTAATTTAAAATTTACACATGGTCTCGATTATGTTGTCGATAAACGCTTAGTTTTGTTTAATAAGTGCAACGTAAAGCAAGTCATTAAATTACACGGGTGCCGATATTTGTTGTGTTACATAATTGAATACAAATTTATAAGATAATTATGCGTTTTAAACTACACCTTTTCAAGATGTAATTGTTAATAGTTGCAATAGATGATAGTTGTAATTAAGAAACGTAAGATGTAAATAAGAAGATGAAAGTTGTTATTGAGAAACATAAGATGTAATTTAGAACATAAAAGTTGTAATTAAAAAACGTAAGATGTAATTTAGAACATGAAAGAAACATAGAGCTATCAATAAAATAAAAAAACTATGAAAAGGGCATTTTCGGTATTGGCGGTACTTGGAAAAATCTCATCGGGGGTCACTTTTTTTTTTTTTTTTTTTTTGTAAAAATTCGAGAATTCAACTGAATATTAAGTAAAAAATAAATAATTTATTTACATAAAGATATAAAATTTAAATTGAATTTAAACAACGTCATTAAAAATCATTGCAATATTCAGTTATACACCAACTTGGACGACTTGCATATTTAAAATCGCTGAGAAATGTGTAGTCGTATGTTGTAAAGCACGTGTACAATCTCCTCCCACTATTGTGTTTTTTGCCACAGTAACAATTCTTTCTAAATACTAAATTTGTTGTTCTACAATTGGAATGCAAATTGCATTTTTAACGTTAATTTTTATTTTGGACCAGTTTGTTTTTACTGGGTTTAACATTTGACTGTAGGGTCCTAATTGCAAAAACTGAGCTGAAAATTTTTCAAACACCCTTTCCAAACAAGCTTGACATAAAACATTGTTTGTTACGACAACCAAATCCTCTAAACAAGTCCTCGTTGAGATGCACAGAGTGGACCATTTAGAGAGACCATTTATTGTTTTCATTGTAAAGCAACACGGCTTTGAGGCTCCGGGATGGATTGTCCATAAATTGGCGCCATTCAATAAGATTACATGCAATACCTATAGCCTAGAATAGACCGGCAACATTGTTGCAGAATCAGAGCCCCTCAAGCTGACTGAAAAAGTTGAAAAACTTTTGATTCCATTTTCTCTGAATCGTGACTTGTACGCTATCATTAACCAAGTTCCACTGTTTGAGCCTATATATCAGAAGCTCAGCATACAAATTTGTAAGCTTGAGGTCCCTAATTAAATTGTTTACGTCTTTCTGGTTAGCGAAGTACGGCTTTCTATCCCCAACCTCATCTGCAGAATTGTAGTCTATATCTCCAGTATTTACTTCGCTATCTGACTTGCTGCTGTCTCCTAAAGATGACCAATGCTGCCTAGGAGGAGTCGGAACAGGCAAATTGGGGCTGTGTGGTACTTGGGCAATAGAAGGAAGGTATATCCGGATAAAAAATCTGAGAAGCATTTTTGCCAGCGCAACAATTTTTTAGGTTTACTATGAAGTTGAGTGGTCCGCTCTTTCTAAATTCGCGGGATAGCATACTACATGGCTTGCTTCTCTCCTCTGTACCAACCAGTAATACATAAAAGTTATAATAACTTAAGGGCATGTAGTAATACATAAAAGTTATAATAACTTAAGGGCATGAAATTTCAAAATATAGAACAATTTCAAGATGAAACGTATTTGCCTACAGTACACGGCTTATGACAAAACTTTTTAAATTACGACTCCTTGAAATAAACTAGATCTAAAGCATTAAAATTTATTTAAAAAAATTGAAATACATCTAAGCGAGAAGCAACTGTTAAGTTTACTTCAAGTGTTTTTTTTTTGCAATATTTGCATGTGAATTGCGGTGCCCAAGATTTGTCTTGGTCCCCGACCAGCACGCTAAAGTATGTCTTGTAGGTCTCGCACATTCAAGAGCGTTCTAGAAAGTTCTGAGAATTTCTCCAAAGTTTTGGAAGTTTCTGAAACGTTCTATAGTGTTTTGGAGAACTGTAGAAACATCTGGACAACTTTAGCAGTTCAGGAATGTTAAAGGAGAAAGCTCAGTATTAAAAGCAAATCAAGAATTTTATCAAAAACACGAGACTTTTTAAACTTCATTGTCCCAGTCACAGAAGCAACGTTTTTCTGAAATTAAACCGATTTCCTTTCTGTTCTACATTTTTTCAAGATGTTATTGAGAACTTGAAAGTTGTAGTTAAGAAAAGTAAAATGTAATCGAGAAATACAACATGTAATTTAGAAATCGTTATATCTAATTGAGAAATACATCATGTAATTTAGAAATCGCAATATGTAATTGAGAAATACAACATGTAATTTAGAAATCGTAATATGTAATTGAGAAATACAACATGTAATTTAGAAATCGTAATATGTAATTGAGAAATACATCATGTAATTTAGAAATCGCTATATGTAATTGAGAAATACAACATGTAATTTAGAAAACGTAATATGTAATTGAGAAATACAAAATGTAATTTAGAAATCGTAATATGTAATTGAGAAATACAATATGCAATTTAGAAATCGTAATATGTAATTGAGAAATACAACATGTAATTTAGAAATCGTAATATGTAATTGAAAAATACAACATGTAATTTAGAAATCGTAATATGTAATTGAAAAATACAACATGTAATTAAGAAACACAATATGTAATTAGGAAATTTGAAAATATAATTGAGGTAACTCAAAGGCAGACTATTTTCATTTAAAAAAGTGCACAAAGAGCCTACGACAATGAACAGTAATGAGAAAAAACAAAAAAAAGCTGAATATGTTAGGAACATTAACGAACAAATCGCAAATGGTCATCAGATAGTTTGGTTGAATGAACAAATTTTAACCTTTTTTGTAGAAAAACGCAAAGATTGCCAAACAGGGTAAAAGAACAATATTAAAATACCTTCTTCAAAAGGTGAAAACATACATTAGATTGCAGCTATATCAACAACAAATGTCGTCATAATGGAAAATCGCAGAGAATTATTTAAAGCAGATTCTTTTAACGAGTTGATGTTGGCTATGTTTAACCACGGGGTTACATGCATGAATCGTTCAGAGGATTTAATCGTTGTAACAGAAAATGCTCATTGCTCATGTAACGCTCGTTTGAAAAGAGTTTTTGAAAATTCAGCGGCTCAGTTGTTACGATTAGGATCAAACAGACCAATGTTAAACCCAGTGGAAACAATCTGGTCAAAAATAAAAATTAACGTTAAAAATGTGATTGGCATTCCCCCTGTATTTGGTGCTGTGATTATGGAACAACGAATACAGTATTTAGAAAGAATTTTTACTGCGGCAAAAAAATATAATAATGGGAAGTGATTGTACAACATACGACCACGCGTTACGCAACGGTTTTAAATATGGAAGACGTCCAAGTTGATGCTTAACTGAATATTGCATTGATTTTTAATGACGTTTTTTAAATTCAATTTAAATTTTATATTTTTATGTAAATAAATTGTTTGTGCTTTATTTATTATTCATCAGAAATCTCAATTTAAATTTTTTACAATCAAAAATAAAAGAAAGTTTTAATTAACACCCAATAGGATTTTTCCAGTTACCGCCTAAACCTCAAACGCTTTTTTCATAACTTTTTATATTATATTAACATTATACTATCATTTCAAGCCTTAAATTACAAAGTATATTAGGACTACAAAACTCAAAATACAAAGAACTATCATGTTCTCAATTACATTTTACGATTTCTTAATTACAACATTCATCTTTTCAATTACGTGTAACATTTCTTAATTACAACTTTCACCTTCTCAATTACAACTTGCTTTTCTTAATTACAACTTTCAAGTTCTCAATTGCAGCTTGAAAAGGTGTATAACATAATAAAAGTTCAGGCGTCGACCAAAAGAAAAATTAGTTACCAAGTTAATTAAAAAAACTATTACTAAAATTAGTCCGCTTGCTTTAGAAGCATAAGATCCAGGGTTCGAAGCGAGCTCTAGGTATGTTTAGCGCCAAAAGTAAAGAACTAGGTGTGAACTTCCTAGTTAAAAACACTTTTGCGGTGCTCTGTGACAAGACCGTTAGGTCTTTCTATTGCACCTTAAATAAAGAAATTTAAAAAAACAAACAAAAAAACTCTACTATTTTTTTGTTTGTTTTTTTGAAAAAATTTTCTATATTTAGATTCTGAGATTTGAAAAAATCTCAGCATCTAAATATAGAAAAAAAAATTCATTGAAAAATCAGGTTATTAAAATATTCTAAGAAATACTTTTTATTATTATTATTATTATTATTTTTTTTTTTTTTTTTTTTATTTACACTTTTGCCGATAAAAAAAAAATTTACAGTCGTAACTTATAAAAAAAATAATTACATGACCGGGGCTAGAAGAAGACAAATTTAGTCTTATCATTAAGCCCCAATATTATTATTATTATTATTATTTTTTGTTCTTATGTTAATTTACCATTAATTTGAAAATTAATTAATGTTTTTCTAAAGTTTCTTAAAATGTCGTTGATAGCAGTTTTGCAATAAAAATCATTTCGAATAAAAGTTATTATCGTTCTTTTTTTACTCTCATAAGAAATAATTAACTCCCATAAAAATGAGAATAAACTCCTAAATGAATGTTTTAAATAGAAAAAAACTACGTGACCGACATTTAAAAAATTATTATTACACTATGATCATGTAATTTTACAACTTTACTAATAAACTA